AGGATGACGATAACGAGGATGATGATGATGATAATGAAGATGATGACGACGATGAAGACAAGGATGAGGACGAAGATGGGGATGAAGATGATGATGAAGAAGAAGATGAAGATGAAGATGAAGATGAAGATGAAGGCAACAACAGTGCCGACACCGAGGCCAACAACCCCGGTGGCGCTGACGACAACAGCAGTGACCACAACGACAGCGAGGGCGGCCACCACCACCACCACCACCACCACGATGACGATGACGACGAGGCCGAAGCCGTACCGTGCGCGGCGGCGGCGCGGCGCTCGGAGGCCAGGAGGAACCGCGGGCTGTCGGGGCAGCGCGGCAGCAGCAGGGCCTGCAGGGCGGCGGGGCACAGCCCCAAACCCAGCAGCAGCGGCCAGCGCCGCGCCGTGCCCAGCAGGGAGCCCAGCCCCAGCACCTGTGAGAGGGGAGGGGGGGGGGTAATCCCGTCGTAGGGGGGCGTAATCCCAGTTTATGGGGTGTAATCCCAGTTTATGGGGTGTAATCCCATTGTATTGGGGTGTAATCCCAGTTTATGGGGTGTAATCCCATCATATGGGGCGTAATCCCATTTTATTGGGGTGTAATCCCAGTTTATGGGGTGTAATCCCATCATATGGGGGCGCAATCCCATTTTATTGGGGTGTAATCCCAGTTTATGGGGTGTAATCCCATCATATGGGGGGGTAATCCAGTCATATGGGGGGTAATCCCAGTCTATGGGGGTGTAATCCCAGTTTATTGGGGCATAATCCCAGTTTATGGGGTGTAATCCCATCATATGGGGGCGTAATACCATTTCATTGGGGTGTAATCCCAGTTTATGGGGTGTAATCCCATTTATTGGGGCGTAATCCCATCATATGGGGGTGTAATCCCAGTTTATTGGGGCATAATCCCAGTTTATGGGGTGTAATCCCATTATATAGGGGGGTAATCCCATCGTATGGGGGGTAATCCCATTTTATGGGGCGTAATCCCGTTGTATGGGGGGTAATCCCAGTCTATGGGGGGGTAATCCCATTTTATTGGGGCGTAATCCCAGTTTATGGGGTATAATCCCATCATATGGGGGGGTAATCCAGTCTATGGGGGGTAATCCCATTTCATTGGGGTGTAATCCCAGTTTATGGGGGGGTAATCCCAGTTTATTGGGAGGTAATCCCATTTTATTGGGCGTAATCCCATCATATAGGGTGTAATCCCAGCCTATGGGGGTGTAATCCCATTTTATTGGGGCGTAATCCTGTCATATGGGGGCGTAATCCCATCGTATGGGGGGTAATCCCAGTCTTTGGGGGGGTAATCCCATTTCATTGGGGTGTAATCCCATCATATGGGGGGGTAATCCCATCATATGGGGTGTAATCCCATTTCATTGGGGTGTAATCCCAGTTTATGGGGTGTAATCCCAGCCTATGGGGGTGTAATCCCATTTTATTGGGGTGTAATCCCACCATATGGGGGGGTAATCCAGTCATATAGGGTGTAATCCCAGTCTATGGGGGGGTAATCCCATTTCATTGGGGTGTAATCCCAGTTTATGGAGGGGTAATCCCAGTTTATTGGGAGGTAATCCCATTTTATGGGGCATAATCCCATCATATGGGGGGTAATCCCAGTCTATGGGGGGGTAATCCCAGTTTATGGGGGGGTAATCCCATTTTATCGGGGCGTAATCCCATCATATGGGGTGTAATCCCATTTCATTGGGACGTAATCCCATTTTATTGGGCGTAATCCCATCATATGGGGGGTAATCCCAGCCTATGGGGGTGTAATCCCATTTTATTGGGGCGTAATCCTGTCATATGATGGCGTAATCCCGTCGTATGGGGGGTAATCCCGTCATATGGGGGTGTAAACCCATTTCATTGGGGCGTAATCCCAGTTTATGGGGTGTAATCCCATTTTATCGGGGCGTAATCCCATCATATGGGGGTGTAATCCCATTTCATTGGGGCGTAATCCCATTTTATTGGGAGTAATCCCATCATATGGGGCGAAATCCCAGCCTACGGGGGTGTAATCCTGTCATATGGGGGTGTAATCCCGTCGTATGGGGGTGTAATCCCAGCCTATGGGGGGGTAATCCCATTTTATTGGGGTGTAATCCCAGTTTATGGGGGCATAATCCCATTTTATGGCGCGTAATCCCATCATATGGGGGGGTAATCCCAGTCTATGGGGGGGTAATCCCAGTTTATGCGGTGTAATCCCATCATATGGGGGGGTAATCCCATTTCATTGGGGTGTAATCCCAGTTTATGGGGTGTAATCCCATTTTATTGGGGCGTAATCCTGTCATATGGGGGCATAATCCCGTCGTATGGGGGGTAATCCCAGTCTATGGTGGGGTAATCCCAGTTTATTGGGGTGTAATCCCAGTTTATTGGGGCGTAATCCCATTTTATGGGGCGTAATCCCATCATATGGGGTGGTAATCCAGTCATATGGGGGGAAATTCCAGCCTATGGGGGCGTAATCCCATCATATGGGGTGTAAACCCAGCCTATGGGGGTGTAATCCCATCATATGGGGGTGTAATGCCAGTCTATGGGGTGTAATCCCATTTTATTGGGGCGTAATCCTGTCATATGGGGTATAATCTCAGCCTATGGGGTGTAATCCTGTCGTATGGGGAGGTAATCCCAGTCTGTTTGGGTGTAATCCCATTTTATTCGGGCGTAATCCCAGTTTATGGGATGTAATCCCAGGATATGGGGTGTAATCCCAATCCATGGGGGTGTAATCCCAATCTATAGGGGTGTAATTCCAACCTATGGGGGCAAAATCCTGTCCTATGGGGCGTAATCCCATTTTATTGGGGCGTAATCCCATCATATGGGGTGCAATCCCAGTCTGTGGGGGTGTAATCCCATCCTATAGGGGTGTAATCCCAGCCTATGGGGCATAATCCCATCCTATGGGGGCATAATCCCATTTTATTGGGGTGTAATCCCATCCTATGGGGGCATAATCCCATCCTATATGTGCATAATCCCATCCTATGGGGGCATAATCCCATCCTGAAGAACCCGAGGGACCCCCAGTTCCCTTTATTTACCCCAACTCACTCCAGAACCCCCCTCTTTAACCCCACACCCCCTCTGAAGACCACCTTAGGGCCCCCAAATCCCCTTTTTTCGTCCCCAAATCTCACTCGGACCCCCCCCCAAATCCCATCCTTCCCTGCCCCCCCCCCCATCCTTCCCCATACCTGCGCCCCCAGGATGCCGATGACGACGGCCAATTGGTGCAGGGTCCCCAGAGCCCCCCGCAGGTGGGTGGGGGCGATCTCCCCCACATACATGGGAACCAACCCTGAGACCAGCCCTGAGAGTGGGGACAGGGAAAAGCACGTCAGCTCCGTCCCCTGTAAGAGGTGGCGTCGCCCCTTTAAGAAGTGGCGTCGCCCCTTTAAGAGATGGCATTGCCCCTTTAAGAGGTGGTGCTGCCCCGTTAAATTGGGGCATCGCCCCTTTAAGAGGTGGCGTTGCCCCTTTAAGAGGTAGTGCTACCCCGTTAAATTGGGGCATCGCCCCTTTAAGAGGTGGTGACGCCCCTTTAAGAGGTGATGCTGTTCCGTTAAATTGGGGCATCGCCCCTTTAAGAGGTGGCCTTGCCCCTTTAAGAGGTGGGGCTGTCACTTTAAGAGATTACGTCATCCCTTTGAAAGGTGACATCAGCCCTTTAAGAGGTGTCGTCGCCCCTTTAAGAGGTGATGTTGCCCTGTTAAATTGTGGTACCGCCACTTTAAGAGGTGACGTCACCCCTTTAAGGGGTGGCGTTGCCCCTTTAACAAGGGGGGCTGTCACTCTTAAGAGATGACATCCTCCCTTTAAGAGGTACATCGCCCCTTTAAGAGGTGACATTGCCCCTTTAAGAAGCGGTGCTGTCACTTTAAGAGGTGACATCATCATTTTAAGAGGTGACGTCGCCCCTTTAAGAGGCGGCGTTGCCCTTTTAAGAGACGCCAACACCCCTTCAACAGGCAACATCGCCCCTTTAACAGGTGACAACATCCCTGCAGGGAGGTGGCATCGCCCTTTTAAGATCAAGCGTTACCCCTTTAAGAGCAGACCTCGCCCTTTGAAGGGGCGGGGCTAGGCAGAGCCGCGCTTGCTTCCCATTGGCCGATACCTGAGTAGGCGCCGAGCAGGAACCGCCCAATGATGATGAGGACGTAGGAGGGGCCCCACTTGGCCGCGCCCATCATGGCCCCGCCCACAAAGGCCAGGGCGTTGGTGGCGATCATGGCGTGCTTCCTGGGGGCGGGGCCACGTCAGGCCACGCCCACCTCGTGGCCACAGCCCCCTTTGGCCCCATTGACC